ATTTTTTTTGCAAAATAAAACTCAATTGTGAAATTTTGTTGTTGAAGAAAACCTAATGCCTCTAATTCACTTAATTAAGTTCTAATTTCTTCTAATTATCCTCTAAGTCTCACTTAACCATTTATTAATTAATTTAACTTATAAATAAATAAAAAGATCCAAAAACCACCACCCCCACCCCCACCACCACCCCACCACCGGTCAGCCACCCTTTCCCCCTCCCCTGGCAGCAGCCCCCACCCCTGGCGACCCACGTCCCCCCTCCCTAAACCATGGCACCAGCCCCCTTCTTCTTCTTCTTCTTCTTCTTCTTCTTCTTCTTCTTCTTCTTCTTCTTCTTCTTCTTCTTCTTCTTCTTCTTCTTCTTCTTCTTCAATCTCTCTCTTTTTCTCTCTCCTCAACCTTCAACCCCAATCCCCCAATCCTCCAATTACGCACCACTCAGCCACAAAACCACCATATCTGTAAGAACAGACCTCAAGTAGAGAGAAGATAAGTGCATAAGAACACCCCGACGGTTTTTTACTTCTTTTGCGGCGGAGAAGACATGAAATTGGGTTATGCGACGATAATTATAGCGATTGGGGGCTGCTGCCAGGGTTAGGGACGGGGGAGCGTTGCAACGGGGGAAAGGGGAAAGGGAGGGGGATCGGCCGGCGGTGAAGCTGGGTCGCCGGGGATGGGGGTTGCTGCGCAAGGGGAGGGGAAAGGGTGGCTGACTTGTGGTGGGGTGGTGGTTTTCTATTTCTTTTAATTTATAAATTAATTTAATTATTAAATAGTTAATTAAGAGTTATAGAGTAATTAGAAGGAATTAGATGTTAATTAAGTGAATTAGTGCTACTAGGTTGTTTTAAACAAAAAAAATTTAACTTCAGGTTTTTTTTTTTTTTTTTTTTTTTTTTTTACGATAAAGCTTTTAAAAGGTTTTTTTTTTCGCAAAATGGTGCATATAAAAGGTTTTTTTTTGACAAATTTTCCTTTTAAATTTGATGTTTACTTGAAGACAAAACTTTATCATTAATGTAAAGTAGGAATAATGAGATGACTTTAAAACCATATCTCAACCTACATTAAATTTCATAAAAATCATTTATATTACCAAATACTTCCAACTATATAAACCAAAAAAGGAATATATCTTCAATTATCATCGATATCATCTACAATCGATAAAAAAAAATGGAAACAAAGTCAATAAATTAATATTATGCATGTTTTAGATGATTTCGGTATCAAATTTAATTAATACGAAGTAGCTAGTTGTACATTGATGGGTACAACCAATGGCCCAACTTTTAATCTTAACCCAAAGTTGTTATAAAGCCCTTAAACAATTATGATAAAGGCCAACCCAATCACCAACTCCTTATGACCTCACCTTATAAATGTAAAAAATTCTCCTTTGCCCAAATTTATTTGACAATTTTTTAAAAAAAATATTCTCGCTGCTCCAAAAATAGCAACATACATATATCAGTTTCACACTTTCATTCAAAATCAATAATCCCCCAAAAACCACAAAGAATTTTAAATTGTAGTTTCAATGAATACGAAAGAGAAAGAGGTAAATTACCAAATAATAGGAGGTTTTGCTAAGTGTGGCCGTAATAAAATTGTCAATTATTGTTGCGGCAAAAGTGGTGGTATCGCCACCACTAATTCACCATAGAACTAAAGTGGAAAAGACTTTGTTGACAAAAAAACACCACCACGAGTACACTACATTTTCTATCACATTTAACTTAATTACTACTTTATGCATGTAGAAGATTGAGACCTCATTAATGGTAAAGAAAGAGAGTAAGAGAGAAAATGAAATATGAATGATGAGGTAAGAGAATATATAAATTTGTTCAATATGTCAAATGGAAAAATAAATTTACTCATTCATTGTAAATAAGGATATCTTCAAATTTGATCATTCATGTAAATGAGCAAATAGTGTTAAGCCAATCAAAAAAGATCCAAAATTTCAATTTCTTCTATCAAAGATTCCAAGCAATTTCTCTCACTCTCTCAAAGCAAATTTGCAATGTATAAACAGTTGACATATTTTCTCAATTTTTATAAATGAGTAAATTGTTTTTGTTCTTTTGCAAAAATGAACAAATTTATTTTGCCCATTTGCAAAAATTTTAACCGTTAGTTTACATTAACTAATATAAATTTTTCTCATTAGTGACAAACGAAAAAAAAAAAAAAAAATCTTAAATGACATTTTTCCACAACTTCATATGTGTAAAACAAAAGAAAAAAAAAATCAAATATTTTTAAGAATCGATTGTTTAGAATTTGCTCATTTATCTATATGATAGAAGAATAAAACCTTAAGTGTAATTCTTAGACTTGGCCAGTAGCTTTGTCCTATTTTATGAAAGATATACTCTTTGTATTTTCAATTTTAATATAAATATTTTTCATCATATATGGGAAAGAAAGTCTACGAATTATGTTTCTTTTTTTGGGAGAAAGAGGGGCAATGGGTAAGCCCCAAAGAAAAAGAAACACACATCAACAAAAAACAAGCGGAAAAAAAAAAAACTAAACAACCATGCTACGAAACTACCCAACTCCCTCCTATCCAAACCTTAAACTCAATCCAAGGTCTGAACAAGTCAAGGTCTTGTAAGAGCACTCCCAGCAGTGAATGAAAAAGCCCTCACGAGTGAAAGTTGAGGTGTAAAAAAAAAAAACCGTACACTACAACAATGAGGGGAATTCCTCTCATGGTTGAGGAGAATTAAAAACGCTCAAAACTTGAGGGGAAATAAGGATGAACAATGACTTTGTGGGGCCCACGAGCTAATGATGCCAACTGCTTCAACTTGCAGAGAAAGCAGCCAAAACGACGCGTTTTGTGCTTCCTCAGGCCAAAACGACGTCGTTTGGTTGCCTTCTCAGCAAAAAAAATTTAAATTGCCTGGCAACTGGCGCGCGTCAAAGCAACCAATGAGATTGCGACACGCGTCAGTGCCATTTAATTGAGCCAATCAAATTTTTTTCTCTTTTTCCCAACGGTTATATTCAATAAAACGGTAATATTGCCGTTAAAAATATAAAAAAAAAAAAAAAAAAATTCACCAACGGCCAGAAAATTTTATTCTCTATAAATAGACATGCATTTTGATATATTTTGATATACTTTCAAAAACCCAAAAAATCTCCTATATTCACTAATTTTCCAATCCTCACTTCTTCTTATTATTATAATTATTAATTACAGTTTTCTTAAAAAAAATTATTATTATTATTATTATAATTATAATTATAATAATAATAATAATAATAATAATAATAATTATTATTATTGTTATTATTATTATTATTATTATTATTATTATCATTATTGCTGTTGTAGCTGTTTTTATTTTCTGAAAATATAATTTAGTTATTGTTCTTTTAGTAATTGTTGATTTTTTTACTAATTATTGTTTAAAGCTTTATTACTTTTCTACTTTATCAACTTATGGATCCTAACAACCCTGATTTTCTAATCATTTCTCTGATTTGGGTGATGATTATGTCACTGATCCTCGATTTCAGCTTTTCCTACAAAGGCTTGGAAATACTTCTTTGCAAAATTCAACACAACAAACACCTCATCAAACTCCTTTCCAAAACACTACCTATGAACCACATTCACCTCTTGTTTATCAAGGGATCATCTCAATTAGATGATGAAATGGAAGAAACTGTTCCAGACACTCCTCAATACTCTCCACTTCCTTCAAGAGTGTCCGTGAATCAAAGCCAACCACTTAAAAAAGCAAGTTGAATGTGGTATGTTGCGGAGGATGAAGCTTTAATTGGTTTGTATCTTCAATTCAGTGAGGATGCAATTGTTTGTACAAACCAAAAAGCAGCTGCGCTATGGCGAAAAATATTTGCAGCATATGATCAAGCGCAAGCTGAGAAACCCCACATCCTACCGCCAAGACCTTTGAGGAGTTTAGAAAGCCGTTGGAGAAGGATGGCAACTGATTTAATACAATGGAGTAGTTGCTATGACGAAGCTGGTAGGGCAACTGGAAGTGGTTACAACGAAGCATACCGAATTAATAATGCAAGTAAGTTATTCTATATTTCCTCCAAGCCTACTCCACATAATTTTAATTGTCACCATGGTTGGGAAATGGTTAAAAATGACCCGAAGTGGAGGACAAAACTAAGATGGGCATTGTCAAGAGAGGAAAGATTAGCTTGTGGTGATGCTGTCGAAGATGACAGTAGTGGAAGTGAGAAGCGGTGTAGAACTGATGATGAAGATGTTGTTCCTGTTACCGGTTTCAATTCTGGGGGTCTTCCTTGACCTGATGGCGTTAAAAAGGCAAAGTCCAGGCGTAATAAGGGAAAAGGAGTGGCTGTTGAAGTCTCAAACATTACTGTCTCAAACATTACTGAGCAAATGCAGCAGAATAATGCAACGAGGGAAATCGAGGCACAAATGCGGTTGAAGAAGTTGGATTTCGAAATGGAAAGGGAAAGAAGGAAGCAAAAACAAGTAGAGCTTCACCAAAAACAAGTCGAAATTCAAGAGAGAAGGCTCAACTATGAAATGCTGCAAGATCTAATGGCAAAGGGACCGGACCTAACTCCTGATGATGAAGAGGCTTACAAGGAAGAATTACGTGCACTACTCTATGGTAGAAGGAACATGTAATTTAGATCAGCTTAATGTGTTTGCTACTGTTTTATTTAATTAATGTTCAATGTAGTCCTTTCACTAGGCGAAAAAACAAATTCCCCACCGGTTCAAACCCCTCCTTTCCCACCGGTTTTGAACCGGCTTATATTTGGGGGGTGCTAAAACCCCATAGATTTCGCACCGGTTCAAAACCGGTGGGAAAAAGGACTTTTAGCACCGGTTTTTTCTTAGAACCGGTGCCAAAAGTCCCCAAAAAAATTTTAAAAAAAACTTTTAGCACCGGTTCTTTTTAAAAACCGGTGCCAAAAATGCCCTAAAAAAATAAATTTTTTTTTTTTTTTTGCATTTTTTTCACTAAAATTGATATATAAAAACTAACATATATATAAAGTTACAAAATTTACTTCTAATACTCCAAAAACCTGTTCTAATGAAGCATATAAACAGCAAACATCTAACTAAATTAAATAGCCCAAACTAAGCAGCTCAACAGGCTACAAAAATAACAAAACACAGCGCAACACCAAAGCAGCAGAGCAAGCACATCAACTCAGCATCACAGCACCCCAGAAACCGCAACACAGCACTACAAAAGGAAGCAGACAGCAACATAGCAACACCAACACAGGAAAACTCGACATCACAGCACAGCAGAAACGGCAGCTCACAGCAGCTCTTAGCAAGTTAGCAACAGCAGCTGAGCAGACACAGCCCGACAGCTAACATCAACAGAACATAAACAACTACACAGGAGCATTGATCTTCAGTCCTGAACTCTTGCTGAAGAGCAAGATGCTTTCATCCTTTACCTCTAACTGTTCAGCAGTTGATGCTATTCTGATAGTGAGAATAGTCAATCAATCTGCCTTGTAAAATAGGTAAGAATCCAACTTAACAAAAGAATCAGAGCTCTGACCAATGCCCCACAATATAAATAGGAAGATTATCTCAGTACTAGAGTATGATTGCATGAAATTCAGAATTATGGAAATTATTATGAAAAGACTGCAGTAACATGCAGTTTACCAGAAAATCTAGACAGGAATTGACATACATACCGCATAAATTTGGAAAATTCGATGGCCTGATATAGATACTCCCCGAATTTACTGAAATCAGGGGGAACAAAAGTCAAATAGCTTTCAAAATCTTGAATAATCATTGAAGTTTTTACATTTATGGATAGCTCATATCACCATAGATGTGAATCAGATTTCAATTTAGCAAACAACAACCACTTATAGCAATAAGACAGCTCACCAAGGTGAAGAAAAGAAGCAACACTATAAGGGGTATGCTTATTTCAGCACAACTGCCATCATATTGACATTTCTAGGTCTTTTAAGATATATACAAGTAATCTTGTCTGTAGATTGTTAAAATTGCTTCATTGTAACCTTGATTCACATTCAAGAAATACAGAAAAATATCATACACTAGAACACAGACCGTTTATGGTACTGTTCATGAAAACCCTTGTCCTCTTCAATACTTGGTCTATGTTGTACCTAGAACTAGAAGATACCCAATTTTGTCAAACACCACAAAGTCAAAACAAAAGGGGAAAAATGCTGACAAGATTCTGACATCCTGAAACAATATCTTCACAAGCATTTAGATATAGCTTTTAAATTATTAGGACACAAATTTGAAAAAAATAATATCTTCTTTGTAGTTTCATTTCTAGGAAATACCTAGAAAAGCTGATCGTTTCTATTAAACATACAACCAAGTGAAGCGCAGTCAATTCGCAAAAGTTACTTATAATTGAGCTATGTTAGATCAATTGAGTAGATGTATATATATACCTTTAAAATTTTAAAACATACATTTATAATACAGCATGAGTGTTACTGAAACTCGTTCAAGAGGATTAACTTGTATAGACATGGTATATTAATGTCAGAACACCAATTGTTACCCACCCTTACAGATGTATTTATGATAATAACAAAGATAAACTGTAGCTTAGTGATCTCTTCAAGCAATATATGAAGATACATTAGGCACGTACACATGTAAAAAAGCATGAATTAAAGACCATAAGATCACACATAATTTTCCAAAAACAGCAGGTGTACAAGAATTAGACCTTCTCCGGTGGGAGATCAATTCCCAAATTTCCACGAGAGAGGATAATGCCATCAGCTTCTTGTAGAATCTCATCAAAATGGGTCAATCCCTTTACAAAGAAAGATAAAAATGCACATATCAAGCTGATCAACTGAGAGAACACAGAACTTCAAATATAAAAAATAATAAAAGAGAAATTTCATGTCTTACTTCAATATTTTTAATTTTTGCAAAAATTTGAGTCTGCTGTAGATCACAATGATTAGAAAGGAACTCCCGAGCCTACATAGAAAGTAACAAAAGCATATTTTGGACTAGTTGTGAAGTCACTCTAAAATAAAATATCAAATACACTTGTTTTCAAGACAAGTATTGCCAAAACCCTGAAGTCTGAACTAGAAGTGTCTTTACCTCACGGATATCTTCAGCATGGCGGGTATATGACAAAGTGAGGAAATCAATATTATTCCGAGCACCCCATGTTTTTATCACCTGAGTCAATCGTTCAATGAGAATATGTAGTAGAAGATATATTATGAAACGAAACGCATAAGGACTAGAGAAAAAAGTTCATTTTATTATGCCTGTTACAGTTGAAGACAAACAACATGCATCTTGATTTAACATTGAATCAAACTTTCATATTATATTTTCGTTTCCTTGGCTGCCTTTTCTACTGACAAGAACAAAAACTTTGCACTGAATGGTGAAGCAAGAATTACTACCTCTTTATCCTTTTCTGTCAGGGTTGGTCGATCTATATAAATTTGGGAGACATGCAAAGTGTACAGAGGCCCAGACAATGTAGCTGAATTCTTGATGAGGCAGACCACATCTTCTCCTTTCAATTCAGACACCTGCAGTGCAGATACAGAACCCATTATCTCCACTTGATGCTATTCCCAATTAAAAAACAATTTTCAACGGCCAACTAACCAATACACATTTCAAACTTTAGGTAACAGAAGATTGAATAGGCAGCACCTATTAAAGACATAAGATTTATGCTCTTGATTGGCTTTTACTTCTTAGTTGCACCAAGTATTGAACTCTAAAACAAGGCTAGAATTAATATCTTTCCTTGAAAATTCATACAAGATCAGCTTATTGGGAGTACATATGTGTTATTCATAACATAACAAAATTTTGCAGATACTATGAGAATTACATACATGACTAAATGTCTACATACTTCAAAACTCCACTACCTATATCCCTAACAAGACCCCAAAATCTGGACAAACAACCCAATTATGAAATGTCTGCAAGCAGATGTTTTCTAGGTATTGACGGACCAGGATTAGTTATCACTATGGGAAATGAACTCACGACTAAACAAATTCACGAGTAAATCCATGAAAAATCAATCCAATAACACAACCATATTCGACAACCCTAAAACAACAATAACAAAATCAACCAACAATTCATCAATCGCAAAGAAGATCAAAATCAAGAACAGCTAAAAAAAACAAAATTAAAACCGAAAGGAAGCGAAATCGAAGCAAACCAGGAGCAGGTTCAATGGAGGTGAGAAAGCTCAGATTCGACTTCAATGGAGAATATAGAGCACGATTCAATGGAGGCGGAGGTGCTGCTTCAATGGAGTGAGAAGGCGGAGGTGCAGCTTCAATGGAGTGAGAAAGCTAGGGCAATTCGGGATTGTGGGTGGAGAACGAAGGCGAATACGAGAGGGAAAGTAAAAGTACAGAAGAAAGAAAGAAAGAAAGAAGAAAAGCAGCCCGGTTTTTTTTTTTTTTTTTATATTTCGTAATTCGCACCGGTTTGAACTGGTGCGAAAAATATGATTTCCCACCAGTTTATTAGGAACCGGTGGGAAAAATATTTTCCCCAACCCCGCCCATTTCTTTTCCCACCGGTTTTCAAGAACCGGTGCGAAAAGTGCGCTGCGCAATTCATTCTTTCTACTAGTGTTTTTATTTTAATTAATGTTAAGATGTACGCCTTTTTATTTACATTAATGTGAAATGAATTATGTTTCTTATAACATTAATTATGCAGTAAATTATTTACTTTATGAAATTTGTTTTTAATAATAATCACATGTACTGGTTAATGACAAATATACAACTCCCAATAAAATCTTCACAGCTTTATGTTGAAGAGTCATATCAACTGAACACAAGTAATGATAATGATATAGATTATTGAAGAGTCAAATCAACTGTTCAAGTGTCATAGATCACATGCATCAATAATTCAATTGCAATTCACATGCATCAATAATTCAATTGCAATTCACATGCATCAATTTCATTGCAGAGATTGCATTGAAGTGTCATATGTACTATATATACATGCATGACACATCAATTTCATTGCAGAGATTGCAATGATACATGAATTTCAATTCAGAGTTACTCACATGCAAAATCAGAGCAACTCACATGCATTGATAGTCACTTGGACTATATATACATGCATGTGTTATTCAAAACGGAAAGAATCCCAAACAAACCAACTATCAAACCATAACCAAAACATGTCTTTCATTTCCTCCACCTCAAGCTCTAGTTCTTCTGATTTCTCAAATAACGTTGAATTTGATCGGTTAGTTGATGATTATGCTGCTAACCACCTACCTCAAATTTTAATTCCCCAACACTCATCACAAGAATCCCAGCTTAATAATGATATAGCAAATGTCCCGGAGTCTTAAAGGGATAGGGAAAGAGAAAAAGGGCATGTGCAACTATATAACGATTATTTTCCGAGTAATGCAGTGTATTACGACAACCAATTTTGCCGTAGATTTCGTATGCGAAGATCTTTGTTCTGTCGCATTATGAATAAAGTGGTTGAAGGGGATCAATTCTTCCAACAACGTCGGAATGCAGCTGGAAAACTTGGTTTATCATCGTTGCAGAAATGCACCGCTGCAATAAGAATGTTACGTATGGCGTAGCCCCTGATGTCGTGGATGAATATCTACATATCGGCCAAACAACCTCAAGGAATGCATTGCAACATTTTTGTCAGGGGGTTATTTCACAATTTGAAAGTGAATATCTACGTAAACCTATGAAGATTTAAGGAGAATCCTTCATCAAAATGAATTGCGTGGGTTTCTAGGCATGAATGGTAGTATAGACTGCATGCATTGGGAGTGGAAGAATTGTCCTACAGCTTGGAAAGCACAATATGCTGGTCGTAGCAAGACTGCAACCCTCATTCTTGAAGCCGTTGCTGATCAGGATTTATGGATTTGACATGCGTTCTTTGGAATGCCTGGCTCATGTAATGATCTTAATGTCCTTTACCGTTCACCGGTGTTTGATGATGTTTTACAAGGTCGTGCACCACCAATAAATTTTTGGGTAAACGGACATCAATATGAGTTGGCCTACTACTTGGCAGATGGGATTTATCCGAAATGGCCAACTTTTATACAAGGTATTACACATCCTTAAGTTCAAAAAGACAAGTTGTTTGCTGATCAACAAGCAGCAATTCGGAAAGACGTTGAACGGGTTTTCAGAGTTTTACAAGCTAGGTTTGCTATACTACTACAACTAGCACTGGCCTTCGACGAAGATATTCTTTGTGACATTATGAAAGCCTGTATAATAATGCACAACATGATTGTCGAGGATGAACGACACAACTACACACGGGCAGATGTTTTGAGATGATACTACGAAGAAGATCGACCACAACGTACAGCAGCGCGGTCGGGACTGAGCACAAGTGCCACGGTGAATAACAACGAGCCATTTGAATTCAACGTCGGGCGGCCACCCAACATTAATTTCAACGCGTATTTTCAGAGGAGGATTGCCCTTCATGATAGAGAAATTCATTCGTCTCTCAACCAAGATTTAGTAGAGCACATATGGCAGAACTTTCGTCATAATACAGTCGAATAAGCAAAGTTGTAGAATGTAATCGTATCGTTTTTAAGTTTAATACTCGTCCTCGTGTATTATTTTAGCTCAAACCGCTTTTATTAAGTTTGTAATCGTACTGTTATTTAATATCCGATGTATTTGTATTGCCGTTTATGTGTTCATTTCAAAAATCTGCTTCTTATGTAATCGTTTAAGTTTAAGAAAACATCTTTCGTAGAATCTATAATTGCTGTAATTTTTTTTTTCTTATTATATTCTAATAAGAACGTTAAATAAAAAATTATATTGAAAATGTTCTATTTATTAATTTTAACCGTCATTAAATAAATAAAAAAATAACAAAAAAATAAAAAATTACCAAAATAATTAAAAAATTATTAAAAATTATTACATTATAATTAAAACGTAATTATAAAAAAAAAAATTACATATTTTTAATTGTATTGGAAAGTTAAATATGTAGTATAAACATTAAAAAAAAAGGATAAAAAAAGGTGATGTGTATTTATAGTGGGGTATAGTAATAGTGGAGGATAAAGTGATGAGGAGTTTTTTTTTTAGAGCATTGGTGTAGTAAAAAAAACCTCTCATGAGAGGAATTGGATGGAAAGAGAGAGAAAGTGGGTAGAGAGAGATTGAGGGGTTTGTTTTCTCCTCACTCCTGATAATGGTCTAATGCCATATAAATCCACCAATAAAATAGCATGAAGAAAAAAAGATCAATACATAATAACATGATGATTACATATACTGATATACTTAATAATATGAAGAAAATAAACTAACATAGAGAATATAACTTTGGGGTAAAGACATGATAAGATACTTAGTAACACAATTGCAATAGATAACTAATTCTTCTAAAAAAATTAACTCATCATCACCTAACAATTTTATTATTTTTTTTACGGGATAACCTAGCAATTGAATTACCTTCATGCACTATCGTAACTTTTCGACACAAGCACCTCATATAAATTAACGATTCCACCCTTTGTAATTCACTTGAATCAAAGCATTACCATAATATAGATTGAAATTAATCAAGTATGTTTGAATTTCAATTCTTGTAGGCATTTTTATTTATTTGCACTCTTATTATTATACCACTTTCCTTTAACTTTTGTTTTTCTATTACACATTCCTCATTTATGACTCAAAATTATTGTCCTCATCATCAAACCATAAATCCCATCACTTGAAATAACACTTCACCCATCACTTGAAATAACACTTCATGATCACTCATGTTAGCATCTTCATCAACCCCAATTCTTAAAGTTTCAAATCCCGATTTAACCCAATCTGAAGAAGCTCAAGACTTTAACTTGTATGAAAAAAAATAACATGACCCAAATTTGAAATAGTCTCTACTTGACCGAGCCGAGTCCAATCAATCAATAATCAATAACTATATACTAAAAGACACACCAGCAATGACACGTGTCGATTTCTGGTGTGTTCTTAGTATATTTTTTTTAATAATTAATTACTAAATTTTATTTAAGGAAGTTATTTATAAAAAAAAAAGTTTGTTTTTTTGTCAACTATACAAATGAGCAATAATATTTACCATTTTTATGTTGATACTCAATTAATTACGGAATAATAAGGAAATATATAATTTTTTTCAAGAAGATGTATTTTTGGTGGAATATTTTTTAAGAATATGATCTTGATCAAATATTCCATGTTACTTCAATTTTGTTCAAGATATTAAACAATTTTTATATTTTATGCTATAAATAAATTAATTTGTCAAGGTAATTAAAATAACGTATCGTGCATGGTACGGGACCTAACCTAGTTTAATACTAAAACAGACACCACAAGTGACACATGCCACATCTTGGTGTTGTATTTTCCCTCAAAAACTCCCCATCCTTTATAGTCAAAATCTTTTTTTTTTTTTGGAATATTTGTATAATACTACTATAATAATTTTTTTCCATATATTTTATATTTTCTTTATAATAAATGTATTCTTTTTTTAGTTAGTGTCCTTTATAGTTCTATGCACATTTATCTAAAATATTATTCCAATTTTTTTAATCATCTTGTAAACAGAGTATTATAAGATTTTGTCAAAAAAGTTAATAATAAAAGATTCATATAATTGATATTAAAGAAATAACTTTAAAACATCACTTAATTTTTTTTTCAAATCCCTCTTATATTTGATTTCAATCAAGTACGAAGAATGTTGATGCAGTCTTCTGTTTCATATCTGATCTTTAGCTTCCATCATCTATGAGCAGTCATCTCTATTTGTCACTTTGACTTGAGGTGATGAAGGTGCGATTTTTATCTGAGAAAAAAAAAATGAAAATTTTGTTTGTTAGCTAACACCATGATGCTCCTAGCCCAGCTCGTGTGATATTCTGGATTCACCACTTAAGTGTTATCTGGTTTGAGGCCAGCAATCAGAGTTTGAGTTGTTATATATGATCGTAGTCCATAACACTCTGCTATTCAACCTTGGTTGATGCGTCTTGATAGATTGGAAGCCAAGCACCAGCAACAATAAAACATAAACATCAAGGCTTTTCAGATTTTCTAGCCTTTGAAGTCATGAGACCAAATTTTTATTGGCCAAGTTGTAATGTTTGAATTCAGAACTATTTTTCTATTATTTACAAAATGGAATCTTTGCAATATTAGAGTTTTATCATGGAGCATGAAGGAGTAGTAATGAAACTAAACAACCAGGAGTATATATGAAACTAAACAACCAAAAGGACTGAAGGAGTATTAGCCAATGATGCAAAAAAAAGAATCAGTTATAGCTTTAATCATAGGCTTCAGCATCCATTGGAAATTCCTGTCTTCGCTTCCGCGAATATTGGCTACAGGCCTACAGCTTGAACATAATTGAAAGCTATTTTTTTAACTTGAGTCGTGGAAATAAAGCCTTCACATTGTATGATTTTGTTGATGACCTCAGTAGCACTATATATATCTTCAGGGGTACCAGTCATTTCAAGTGGGATTAAAGGAGTTGGCATGTGAATAAGAATGTGGATATTGACTCGGAAAAAATGGCAAATATGGGTGATATTCAGTCCACCTGACCCTATAGCA